CACTAAAGAAATAATCTTAAAAACCGTATCCTCGCTGTCTTTGGTTGGAGCGTAACATAGCAATACAATGTACAGTTGGGCCGGCTTTAGTGTTTTGTTTCATTTGGCTCCGAAAAATCCGGAGAATTTTTGTTCTCTCTCTCTCTCTCTCTCTCTCTCTCTCTCTATAGAAAGACTTTCGATTCCTGAGAAATCGATTCTTTCATACCCTTTTTGATCTCTCCTGTACTAATGGCTTCCCGGAGACGTATGCTTCTTAAAGTCATAATCCTTGGAGACAGCGGGTACTTTTTTTTCTTTCAATTTTCATATCAATTTCATCCGATCTCGCGCGTTTGGTTGCTGGGAAAGTTATTAGAAATGAAATCACAAACAGAAAATCCAATTTACACATGATATGTTATATTCTGTTCTGCTTTCAGAGCTTGATTATTATACTGGGGATCATTTGAGTGAACATCTTGTTTTCTCATGTCCCAAACATGATTAATTCTTAGGGTTGAAATTTATTTTCCCTTCTTGGGTTGCACTTATTTGGGTATTCTTATTTTGATTTTGGACTGAAAATAATTCTCAAAAACAAAAGAAATTGTACCTAAATGTTTGAATTATCAATACATAAACTGGTATTTTTTGGGTCCATTATGTGGAGTTGTGCACTAACTTGGATTTGTTTGATGTTTGGTAGGGTTGGGAAGACATCTCTCATGAACCAGTATTTTCAATACCCTAGCCTTCTTAATTAGCTGTTTTCATATTGTGCTGTCTAGTGTTTGATTCATATGATTTTTTTTTTGGGTAATGTTGATTAGGTATGTGAATCGTAAGTTTAGTAATCAGTATAAGGCCACAATTGGAGCTGATTTCTTGACGAAAGAAGTTCAGTTTGAAGATAGGCTGTTCACATTGCAGGTGAGCATTGTGACCTTATATTTCATTTCTTAAACTTACGGCTGTTTTAACTTACTGTTGTCATGTTGTTTCCTTTGGTTGTCTTTTGCAATTTGACAAGTGAATGTATCAATTATCTATGCTTGTCATTCTCCAAGGCATAATTTCATTTTTGGAAACTTTCATATTGGACAAAGGGATAATTTATGAATAATCCAATGTAGCAGCTTTGATAAATCAGTTCAAGAATCAACAATTAACCAGCTTTCTCTAATTAGTACTTTATGCTTATAGAAATAAAAATACAGCCTGCTTTGAAATCATAAAAGAAATAGTATGGAGCCTAAGAGTACTTAGAACTTCATTAAGATATATATTCTATAGAGTAGCTTGTTGGATTATGATGTTTGAAGTAAAGACTGCATTAAAGAAAATGAAAATTGAAAAAGTTTTAGGATCGAATGGTGTACCAATTGAGATTTGGAAGTGTTTAAAAGATGTTGGGGGTATTTTGGTTAACTAAATTATTTAACAAGATATAACAACTAAGAAGATGTCAAATGAGTGGAGAAAAAATATGTTAGTACCTATATATAAAAACAAAGGGATATTCAGAGTTGCATAAACTAAGAGGTATTAAATTAAGCAGTGATACAATGAAATTTTGGGAGAGAATGATCGATCAACGACTAAGACATGAAACAACTATAACTGAGAATTAATTTGAGTTTATGTCCGAAAAGGTCAACTATGGAAGTTATATACTTACTTAGGATATTAATAAAAAGATATACCGGGAAAAAGAAAGATCTTCACGTGGTTTTTATAGCTCTAAAGTAGGCATATGATAGAGTGCCTAGGGACATAATATGACGTGTTTTAGAAAAAAAATAAGTTACAAATAGATATACTGATATGATTAAGGATACGTATGAGAATGTAGTAACCTTAGTTAGAACAACTGTAGGAAAAAGTAGTGAATTTCTAATCATGGTAGACTTACATCGGGGTTTTGCCATAATTATAGATGAATTGGCTAGACACATTCATATGAGGTTCCATGGTGTATATTATTTTCCAATAATATAGTATTGATTGATGAAACTAAAGTAGAAATCAACAAAAACTAGAAGTTTTTAATAGTAGAAAACCAAATAGGGATGTAGTAACGATCGCACATCGAAAGATGCCCAAGAGCGAACACTTTAGGTATTTGATGTAGTCATCCATAGGGAGGGAGAGATTGGAGACGATGTTAATAATAGAATTAAAGTAGAATGAACTAAATGGAGGAATGTATCTAGTGTACTATGTGATTGACGTATACCCCTTCGGTTAAAAAGTAAGTTTTATAAGACCAGTATTATTTAAGACGTAAAGCGAATCGAATTGGTTAGGTCTTCTGAGGCCTAGATGAGAAGCGAGAGACGAAGTGAGCGTTTTATTAAAATGCGAAATGAATAGTATAAAAAATAAGCAAATATTTTAGTTTAAAACAACATTAACATAAAAACTAATTAAAACAAAGACATAAAAACAATAAAATATAAAATCATAAAACAATAAAAATATAATGACCATTAAAGTAGAATAAAAACATCAGGCTATAAAAACAACACATATTAACAGATTTTCAACAAAAATAAGAAACCAGAAAACAAAGTTGCAGCATAAAAATCTAAAAATAGAGTTCCAACTTCGACCGAACTACAACTAAAACAACAAAACCTTCGCAGAAAAAAAAAAAGCAGTGATCGTTGAGTTCCACCATCAACAAGAAGAAAAAAGAGGGGGGGGGGGGAGAAAAAGTAGAAAAGGAGAAAAAAAGCACGAACTTGGTGAGAAGAAATTGAAGAAGCAACCAATCTAGTAATTGATAAGTGGCAGCAGATTGTTTTCTTTAAGCAAATTCAAAATAAAAATCTGATGAATATTGCAACAAATTGTTTTTTTTTGTAAATCTGGTGAGTGTCGCAAGACAAGGTGAGTGTCGCGACTTAAACCCGGTCTCCAGCTACACCAAATCTCAAGTCCATTCAGTTGATTAGAGTTAGTCACTATATATATAAGGGGCAATTAGCTGTTATTAGTTTATCCACTTTGTGGTCCAATTGATCAATCCAACCCATAATAGACAAAGAAAACATCTTAAAAACTTCACTAAGGTGCTCGCTTCTTTGCTTGGCTCGCTTCTTCACCTTGGTTGGCTAGACCTTGCTTTGCCTGGACTGTACGAGGTGACCCGGGCTTGCACTCTCACCTAGGCCTGCTTTTCAAAACATTGTATAACACAACAATTAGACCAATAATGCTTTAAGGGACAGAATGTTAGGCAATTAAGAAACAACACGTATAAAAACTAAGTGTTGCAAAAATGAGAATGTTATAATAAATGTGTGGTAAAATGAGAAAGGATAGAATTAAAATTGAGTATATTTGTAAAATCGTAGAAGTAGCACCAATAGTAGATAAATTAACAAAGAATCGATTTAGGTGGTTTGAACATGTTTATAGAAGACCTAATAAAATGCTCCGGTAAGAATGAGCAATTTGATACATATTAATGGTAATTCGAGAGGTAGAGGTTGACCTAAAATAACTGTGAACAAAATAGTAAAAGAAAAGATACAACAGCTTATGGTCTAACGGAACATATGACCCTTCATAAAGCTTAGTGGACGAACAAGATTCATGTAGCTAACCCCAAATAGTTGGGTTAATGCTTTCTTGAGTTGAGATGAAATATTTGAGACATACATTCTGCCACCAGCAGATTTTATTTTTTAATCTGTGGAAAAATTGGTTGTATTTTCTCTTGCATATTTTCCCATTTTTGTACCACACGAAGTAGGTATGTGCAGATGCTGGTAACATGCCTTCAAATTGTTTCCTTTCCTGTTATTTCATATCTAAAATGGCAAAGGATGGTTTAAGCAATTGAGGTTTTTGCTTCAATACAGAGATGCTGTGAAATAGCTGAATATTTTTTCATTTGGAAGTGTAGACATGGGCTAGCTCAAAAGGTTCACTTTTAATTCTTTGAAGCTAACACTTCCCATATTTTCCCTCCAGATATGGGATACCGCTGGGCAAGAAAGATTTCAAAGCCTTGGCGTGGCTTTTTACAGAGGGGCAGACTGTTGTGTCCTTGTTTATGATGTGAACGTCATGAAATCATTTGACAATCTGAACAACTGGCGGGAAGAGTTCCTGATCCAGGTAATTATGTTCTCCCTGGATGCTCTGGTGGTCTCGAATTTCGCAGAACCGATTACTGAAAGGTAATTTTTGTGGTTTTAATGTTCAGGCCAGCCCATCTGACCCCGAAAACTTTCCATTTGTTGTCTTGGGAAACAAGATTGATATTGATGGTGGCAACAGTCGAGTGGTAAGATGGTTACTCTTTCTTTTGACATACTTCCACTCTAATAACGGGTGCTTTGCTGGTTTCCTCAGATACAAGTACAGCAGTTCCCGCTACTGATTCTGTACTATATTGGCTTCTTTTTAAATTCAGGTCTCTGAGAAGAAAGCTAGGGCGTGGTGTGCTTCCAAGGGAAACATACCTTACTTTGAGACTTCTGCAAAAGAAGGATTCAATGTGGAAGCTGCTTTTGAATGTATCGCCAAAAATGCTCTCAAGAACGAACCTGAAGAAGAAATGTGAGTATACTTTATGCAATGACATGTCTGAACTGTTGGCTGCTATCCAGTTTTCTGTGATTACAAATACTACCTGCACTTCTCTTCCTTTCTTGAACAAAAGAGAAAAACCCCTTATTATAATTGCATAAACAGAAGATTGTTCTTGGGAGACAGAATAGACTTTTTCTTTATTTTACCTTTGCTTTTTTGATGGGGTATAGAGAAAGGTCGTACGTGTATGAACTTAACCAGTATAGGCTTTCCTATCTGCAATGACAGTTAGTTGCTTTAGTGCTTTACTGATAGGTGGTTGTGCATTAGACATTAAAATTAACTGCAATTAGCAATAAGTTGTAGTAGAACTGTTTCTGCATAATGGTGATATCCTTAAAACCCACAAACTTGATTTGTTTGAGTTTGGAGCAATATTCTGATTCTACCTTCAGTTTGTCCCCCGGTTTTTGAAATAATACAGACGGGAAGTTTTATTTGACTACTATTTTGATTCTACTGGAATTGTTATTGGAAAAGGTAATGACTGAAAAATTTCAGATGCCATTTGAATATTGTCAGGTGCTCCTTGAGGCATTTCCATTCTAAAATAGTAAAACCTCTCCTTGGACCCCAGGAACACGGATTGACTTTATATATATATGTTGATATGTACATAATGCAAAACGTGGATCTTACCTCAGTGTAATGGTTCGCTAAGCACTATAAGTGTGTTCGAGTGGCAGACTGGCAGTTATATTCTCCATGACCCATGTGTAGAGTATCATATTGTAACTTCAGTGCTAAGCTCTGTAATCTATATTGTAGTGTATCATGTGCAATTTTTCTTTTTTCTTTTTTTTTGGTAAGATCCTATGAATCACATTCAAGTAGAAACTTTGGTCAGTGACAATATATATTCATGGAGTACTAACAGAAGGCTTGGAATTTCTGTTTGTTGATTGTGAAAGATATCTTCCTGACACCATTGATGTCGCGGGTGGAGGGCGGCAGCAAAGATCAACAGGGTGTGAATGCTGAAAAGAGAGCTTTGTTGGGTTGGTTTCTGGCATTACAGCTACAACTGTTGGTAGTATACCCTTCATAATTATCTAACTGCATGTATCAATTAATTGTTTCCGGAGAATTGTCAAGTGGGAATGGGTGTTATTAGTACATATAACAATTTGATTTGTGTTGTGACTGTTTCACTTTATGTAATCTCGTCTAAGAATATGAACACATTTTAATCTGATATCATGTTCCATGTTCCACCTCAGCTCGAGACATGCCTCTTATCGTGTTTTTTTCCCATTCTCCAAATTGAATAAATATTTGTTAGTATAGAGACTAACATTCTCATCGATAAATGGTGCATGAATGATCCCGATCCTAAGTTTTAGATGGTGCATGAAGATCCCCTATTATCACCCTCGTATAGACACCAGACTGTTTGAAATGAACGGGGAGAGTTCAGTCCGGTCTGATTAGAAGTGCTAAAGTGAGTGAAACGAAGGACTTTAGGGGAAAAAAAATGTAGGTGCCTCCCAGCTTTTTTAAGCTTTCCTCTTCATAATGTTGTGGACATATTTGTCCATATGTTTACCAAGGCATGCACCTGTATTAACCATTACGTGACAGAAGTAAGGTTAGAAATGGAAATGCGCGAATTCTGTCTATAGCAGAAACGGAGTGCTCAAATCAAATAATTGTCTGCTACTACAGTGCTACATCTATGACTTTTATCAGTTCTATGGTTAGGGTGAGATCTCCCTCTCTCTCTCTCTCTCTCTCTCAAGATTCACAGCATTAAGGTTAAGAGTTTCCGGAAGAATCAACCATGAAGGCAACAAGTGAAGCTGAGGGACTATTAGAGATGATCCGGCCACCACGTCTCGAAGACGCCGGCCTCGAGGACTGTGCACTGCCACCGGAATCAATCCAAGAGGCCTTTCTTAAAGCCGCCATGTCCGTAAAATCACAAGCCGCTTCAGTTTTCTACGCATCAGATGACGAATCTGAAGCCAATTCCGTTAACGATCCGCAGCCCAATTTCGGAGAATCGCCCGATGCGCTGGTCGGAGTTATGCAGGGGACTGAGCCTCCGGGATCTAGCGATACCAAGAAGGGTAGAGTTGTTGTTCCCGAGGTTGTGTCTGATGAAGGCGGTGCTGGTGTGGGCGATGCGAAGAAGACGGTAGGTGAGGTGGTGGGACCGGTTGTGCCGGAGGGTGTGAAGGCTTGTGTTGATGGGTTGCAGGGTTTGGAGATTGGGAGAGAAGGACCGTGTTCAGAAGGGTAAAAAATTGAGGGATGAAAATGATGGTGAAGATGAGAGAGAGAGAGAGAGGGTGAAAAGCCAAATCCTAGCAGAAGGTTTTCTATGAATTAATAGGGTCAGTCTACGATTAAATAAAAAAAAATGACAATGTACCGATAGTTATTATGTTTAATGGTATGATTGTAACTGATTGAGGAAGATCGATCATGATTAATTATAAGATATTTTCTTGAGTCACGACGGGATTAGAGTATGGGTGGCGCTATTCTTACTTTACAAATTTTTATTTTAATTTTATTTAATTTTTCATTCTCAAATTATTAAATTTACTCATTTCTATACTCATTTTATTAGTAACTAAGTCTATCTTATGCTACATATATTACATTAATAGTTAGACTCATTTATTTTATGTACACTTTAATGAAAAAAATCATCGTAAAAAAAAATTAATGAAGGAAGACAATTAATTCGAATGCATAAATTTATATAATAAATTAGATAGATGTTTGAACTTATAGGGTTATATTTCCCAAAAAAATTTCACACACCTAACACACATTTTTCCCAAAAAAATAAACCTATATAATAAATCAGATGAATGTATGGGAATATATCCCCAAAAAAATTTCACACCCCCAACACACATTCCCCCTCCCCCCAAATTTTAAAAACTCAACACACATACATTTTACAAACACACAACTGTACATATATACACATATTCTGACACGCATTTTAATGCATGTACAATATAATAATTTAATGTACAGTGACTTTAATCATGGGATATCACTAATATATTTACGAAAAAAAAAAATAAAAAATAAAACAAGTAAAAAAAACCAAACATAATGAAATAAATAAAAAAAAAAGAAATAAATGAAGACGCATAATGAATCAAGAAAAAAGAAAAGAATGAAACAAGAAAAAGAAAGAAAGAAAGACACAGACTGAAACAAGAAAAAATAAAAGAACAAAAAAAGGAAATAAAACAGAAAGAAAGAAAGAAGTAACCAAAACAAGGAGGAAAAAAATCAAACAAAAATTAAAGGAACAAGTAAAATTACAAGATGTAAACGAATATGAAAAAAAATAAGTAACAAGCACAGATATAAAATTGAACAATAAAAAAAAATAACAAAAATAGATGTAAAATCTTTACAAATAATAAATAATCTGAAAGTATATATATATATACAGATAAATTCTAAATAAAAAATTATTATACTTGACAAGGATATTAAACACATGCCGAAAATAATGAAAATTCATATAACAAACATGAAATTAAATATATACTTAAATTGAGAAATATTACTAATTTGTATCTCACTGAAAAAATTTATATTAAAAAAATAATTTTTGTGAGTGCATGAAAAGAGATAGAGAATGAAAATATGACAAAATGTAGCATGAAATGGATTTAGTTATTAATATGGCGGGCATAGAAAGGGTGAGGTTAGTAATTTGATAATGAGAAATTAAATAGGAGTGAGAATAAAGATTTATAGAGTGAAAATAACTTCACCTTTAAAGTATTCAAAAAGAATAAAGTTTTCGTGGTTTGACTACAATAAATTATTAAAATTCAAATTCACAATATTTGAATTTATAAATAATTTTTATTATCACTTGAACTGGGAATTGTTACATAACTTTTAAAAATTGTAATTTTTATGGTCAATTTTAATATTTTAGGGTCAATTATATTTTTTATAAATTATAACTAGTATCTTAAAAAATTATAATTTTTAGTACTACATGTACGATGGTGCCGTAGTCATTTCCCGTTAGTAGGATTGGGTTTTGTATGAAGGGACGATTCTGTTTTGCAATTTGTGAGTTGAACGGATGGGTGGAATCTGACGAGGAGGATGATGACGACGTGGTTTCTTTTACAATTTGGGTAACACTACTATCCCCGCCAGCTACTTTTCGTTACCATACCGAAAAGTAGCTTGGCTTATATGGGTGACTTGTTACTTTTTAAAACCCTTCAAAATTGATGTAACTGATTATTTTCGGCGGTAACTATAGGACATGTAATTAACTAAAATAGTTGTATTTAATCAAAAGTTATACCATATTCAGTTCAATTATAATCCATCCATTAAACTTGTATCGAATAAAGTTGTATCCGATAACCCAATTATTAATGTCAATTATATATTTAAGAAAAAATATTTTACTTTTAATTTGCCTATGTATTTTATTAGGGGTGTCAATTTTTTGACTTGAACCAAACCCGACACGAATTCGAAAATTACACGATTCATTGACACAAGTAATCAATGAGTCAAATTAAGGTTCAACACGAATAACAATGGATACAGTAGATAGAAAAAAATTATTTAATGAATATTTTAGATAAAAAATAAGAATTTTATAATTTTTTATAATTTTTTAAATAATATTATATTAATAATTATCAAATTAAATAATTTTTTATTAACACGACCAAAAGTGGTACGATACGAAACCGATACGACACGACACCCCTATATTTTATCTTCAAAAAAAATAATAGTTGTGGAATAAAAATATTAGTTGAAGGTGAAATATAAAGAACAAAATAAAAATATTGTTATACTTCATGGGTGTAAGTGTAATTTAATTAAGACCGGTCCAAGGAATGGAAGATTGATCATGTATTACATATTACACTTTTATCCTTTTTATATTATACTTTTAACCTTTTAATATTATAATTCATCAAATTAACATCTAAAATCATTCAATAAATATTCAATTTATCACATCAATATGCAATTTCATCTAATTAAAACTCAATTCATCAAATTTACACAAAATTAACATTCAATTTTTCAAATCAACATTTAATTTTACCTAATAAACACATAATTCATTAAATTAACATTAAAATTCAACTAATAAACATTTAATTCGTAACATTCAACCTCATCTAATTTATATTCAAATTCATTCAATTCATAAAATTAACGTCAAAAATCCTTAAAAAAACTAACATTCAAATTCATAAAATTAACATTCAAGAGGAGTAATGGAGGGAAGGCAAGAGGAGTAACAGTTTTTAGGCGGGAAAGTGGTTGGAGGGAGAAATAAGGTTTTTGTGATTTGTGGAGCATAATATTCGGTTAGAAAATAAAATTTTAATATATTGTAATATGTGGGTGTGTAAGTGTAATTTATAATGTGAATATTAGGACCGATTCAAGGCATGGAGGACTGATCCTGGGTAAATATCAAACTTTTATCCCTTAACTATTACACTTTTATCTCTTAAATAATCAAAAAAATTTCCAAAAATATTCAATTTTTTATAAATAGTCCCATTTTTTATTAACAACAAATAAATAATGAATAAAATCAAGAATTGTAAATAATGCTTCCAACTTATAAAATTTTTGAATTGAGTTCCAATTTTTTGGTGACTCTCATTCGACTAGATCAAAAAAATCCTACTATCCAAAAAATATTCAATATTTTTTAAATAGTCTCATTTTTTTATTAAGAATAAAGTCAAATAATTAAAAGAATTTCAATTTATTTATTTGGTTAATTCTAACTTTTTTGGTTAAGGTTCAACTTTTTTAAGTAGGAGTTTCAACTTTTTGGAGGTTCCAACTCTTGGGTGGGTTGTAACAGTGGGTTTTGGGAGGTTCCAACTGGATTCCAACTTATTGTGATAGAGGTTCCAATTGGGGTTTCAACTTTTTGGGGTGGTTCCAACTTTTTCAGTTGGTGTTCCAATTATTTTGGGTACGACTTCCAACTT